TGAAGTAGCGATTTAACCCTTTATATATCTAAAGTAGCACCTTGGCTAAAATTATAACCTAATGCATGCATGAAGATCTAATTTCAGGTGCTTAATTTTAGCCAGGCGCTACTTTAGATAAATCGCTACTTCAGATGCGACATACATACCAAAATATTTGTTTTTTTTAAAAAAAAATATTGTATTTCTATTGTGATCTTTCCATTATTTAATTAACATTAATGTCAAGAAATTGGCTACGGTTGACGATTCTGTTGTATATAGTGCATTGTTTGAAATTTGACAACAGTTGCAGATTTCCTATTTAGTAAAAAAAAAATACATATCGATATTCATTGATACGTAATGATATTTTAATTATAATCATTAAAGAAAATCAATATATACTATATAATAGCGATAGATTCTAATTGGCTAAATCTTCTCGTGTAGTAGTATTACAGCTGATTTCATAAATTCTGTAAAAATTAACCGACCGAATATTTGCCGATCCGATAAGTTTTGATAAACTTTTGATTCGGATGTGATTACATCTGAATCAAAAATTTATCACTGCTGAATCAAAACTTATCGAATCAGCAAATATTTGGTCGGTTGGATTTTCAGAATTATGAAACAGCTGTAAGGCCTCAAGCACATGACCAATCACATACGTTGTGATCAATTAAAATAGAATTATTTATGTTGAACTTAACTCTATAGTCTATGTGATAAATACCTCTATAGTCTATGTGATAGATACTAGTTTTATTATTTATGTAACATTAACGGTCACTTCTGTATATGACAAAGGATCATAACCAAGAAAACGTGATGTGAAGATAGGATAGGATTTACAGCTGTTTTCATTATTTTTGGGATATATATCTGGTAAAAAATTGTTTATTTGTCAATTCGATAAGTTTTTGATTTCGGCAGTGATAAACTTTTGATTTGAGAGTAATTAATAATATAGCGATAATTGTATATATCGATAATTTTTGCAATTGTATTTTGAATGATACTACAATGTCAACGCATCCAAAATTAAGTTTTCACTTGAACGTATGTCCAGTATGCTCGGTTTGTGATTCTTATCAATCAACAGATCTTGACAAAAAATATAATAAATACATTACAAGAGCAGACGCTAATGAAAAAAGTTAATATGAACAAGAATTGGTTGCTGGTTAAAAAAAAGCATATAACGCAAATTATTATCCTAAACAACCAAGATTTTATTAATCTTTGTCGAAACCGCGTCAAGAATTATAATCAACGAAATCAGAATAAATATTTTATTTAAAAGTTTTACTATACAATGATTATTACAAAATATAAGTCAAAAAGAAAACTAGCAAGAATTAGATGAGGGTATTGAAAAATGAATTTACAACTAAAGAACCTTTAGCTTCTTTATCTATGATAAATATTATAAAGACGTCCGTCAATGAGTTAAACGAGTTAAGTACTGCATAGGAAAAACCTGTATCACATTTAATATAAATTAGTGCCGCCAAGAGAAAACCTGTCATTGAGTTCTCAATTATATTTTGTATTGTCATTTAGCAAAGAAATATACATTATTCCATAATCGATCATTACCGAAATCAAAACCTTATCTGTCGGCCAAACAATCATTCGGTCAATTTTTTTTATCAGATGTCCCAAAAATAATGAAAACAACTGTAATACAGCAAATACTATTCCGAGTTTGGCCGAGGCGAAGTTCCAATAGGCAATAATATCGATATAGCACTTCTGCTTATTGAATAGTACAAGCAAAGCTCATAGTCAATATCGTTAGCTATAGGTTCCCCCACCTGATACCTTAAAAAGTCATTAATTGGTCTCTTTATTATATGCCAAGCGTAAGCAAAGCCACCAACATACACGTATACATTTTGTATAAAGCATTTCGCATTGATATTAGAATGGAACTGAATTATATTAGATAATCATACCCCGGAAATCAGTAAAATCTCTGGTTCTCGGACCAAATCTTCCACGCCTTTTTTCGAGTAACCTTGACTGTGCTCCATATCTTTATTGTTATGGTTGTAGAGGCGTGGTGAACTGAATTCTTCACACTATTTAAAGTGTGAGGAGAATCTATGGCTAATTACATGACTATGAACTTCGTTTATACTATTCAATAACCAGAGGTGCTTCTTTATGGGGCTTCGCCTCACGCAAACCGAAAATAGCATTTATCAAATGCTATTTTCACATGTGCATTAAATTTTTCAGGTCTGGTGGCTTAGTAATTTCATGATCACGATCCTTCGGTCATTTGCATCGTTATAACCAGGATTGGCACAGACCAGTCAATGGTCAAGCTTGACCAGACCAGTTTGACCAATTTGACCGGTTGGTCAAAGGGTTTAGTATTGGTCAAATTGGTCAAATAATATATAAAGGATATATTTATTTATTTATTTATTTATTTGTATATGAAAATTATTTATTTAATAGGTTAGACCATTTGACCAATTTGACCACCACAAATTTTTGGTCGACCAGTGATTTGACCAACCCTGGTTATAACATAAGTATGGACCCTTATATCAAGAAAATCCCGGGCTGATGATCATTCCGACCCTACGGATACAGGATCTTGTGTAACAAAACAAAACATAAGAAATTGTAAAAAAACGTAACTAACACAAAAATTTACTATGATAATTAACTTCTGACCTCTAAGTAAAAGTTTCAGGATGAAATTTACTCATAAAACAGAAATTTTAATATTAGATATACAGTGAATTTTTTGAAAACTACGTCCCATATTTTTTTTGACATAAGTATTTGTCATACATACTTATGGGGTATTAAAGCAAAGTACCAGTTAGGGTTACTTTTTTGATGCAGTTAGGTTAATGGGTTATATAGATATCAAGAATACAATTTATGCAGCATGTAGATCATTATATGGCTTTAACGGACCCTCAAATATAGATAAGTATGCGGACAATCAAATGGTTTGTATAACGCATAATCTATGATTTCGCTTTTTTTTTTCTTACCTATGTAAAATGGAATTCCTACCAAACGAATGCCTTTTTGAAATATTTAATAGCCTAAAAAATTATTACAGATCCTTATTTTCATGCCTTCTTGTAAACCGTCATTGGTGCAGAATTATTGTTCCAATATTATGGAGCGAACCATTATTACATTGTTATAATAAAAAACTAATAAGAATATATCTTTTATCATTGAATGAAGAAGAAAAGGCTCCATTAATTAAATTAAATTTATTACTTCCAAATGGTCCAAAATTGTTATTTGAATACGCATCTTATACTACGTACGTCAATTGCTTTGATTTAAAAAGTGGAATTGTAAACTGGCTTTGTGAAGGAGACGAATCTACCAGCATTTTGAATTATTATAATTTCGAAGAATATCAACTATCAGAAAATACAATTAAAACAGTCAAATATTCTTTAATTTCAATGTTATTACGAACAAGTGAAAAAATTAAACATTTGGATATAGATGAACTTAACGAAAATATCGGAATCGTGAAGATATTAGTAGAAGCTCTTTACAAAAACTCTGTTATCACTTCCTTGGTTCTTTCTGAGATTGTGTTTAGTTTTGAAGAAATAAAAGCACTATCAGATGTTCTTTGTACAAATAATTGCATAACTTCATTAAGACTATCTTTTTGTGAACTCGTTTCTGAAGATATAAAATTACTGACAGAGGCACTTTGTAAAAACTCAACCATATCTTCTCTGGATATTTATGATAGTAATCTTGGTGATAAAGAAGTAAAAGTACTTGCAAAACTTCTTTACAAAAATGTCACATTGACCTCCTTAAATCTCAGTTATAATCAATTCGGTTTTGAAGGCGTAGAAGCACTTGCAGATGCTCTTTATCAAAATATCTCTCTAAACTCTTTAACCCTTGATGGTAATAAATTTAGCATTAATGAAGGCAAAATATTTGCAAAACTTCTTCGCCGAAATGCTACTATTACTTCCTTAAGTCTTTATAACAATAGATTTGGTTTTGAAGGAACAAAAGCGATAGCGGAGGCTCTTCATGTAAACACTGTTTTAAATTCTCTAAATATTGGAAGTAATAACATTAGTTTGGAAGGAGTAAAATCAATAGCAGAAGCTCTTTGTAAAAATATTACTTTAACTTCTTTAGATATTAGTTCTAATAAACTTAACTTTGAAGAGGACAAGTCATTGGCGGAAGCTCTTTGTAAAAACACAACTCTAAAAGAATTGTGCCTTTATCATAATATGATTGATTCTAAAGGAGCAGAAATGTTGGCAGAAGCTCTTTGCAAAAATGCTAGCTTAACTTCTTTAAATCTTATCGGTAATCAAATTACTTCTAATGGTATAAAAGCACTATCAGAAGCTCTATATAAAAATACTATTTTAACATCCTTAGATATTGGTAACAATAAGGGTACATTTTTTGGGATAGAGGCATTATCATACGCTCTTTGTAATAATAACACTTTAACTCATTTAGATCTTTCTAAAAGTCAATTTTGTTTCGAAGGAATAAATATATTGGCGAGTGTTCTTTGTGAGAACACAACTTTAACTAATTTAAACCTTTCTAGCAATCAATTTACTTTTAAAGAAGGAGAGATCTTAGCAGAGATTCTTTGTAAAAACACTGGTTTAACTTCCTTAAATATTTGTAATAATCAATTTGGTTACGAAGGAATGGAAATATTAATGAAAGCACTTTGTATAAACACTGCTTTAATTAATTTATATCTTTATGGTAATCAAGTTAGCTCTGAAGAATTTCAAATATTGGCAAAAATTGCTTACAAAAGTAACGCCAGAATTTTATTGCATTTTGAATTTTAAATTTTTTAAACATTATCAGCTATAGTCAATAGTTAATTAGTAATACTAAATATTATATTTGGTTTATTAATATTAATAAAGTATATAAATCAATTTAGATAATTATGAATAATTATGATTTTGGCAATGTTTAACTATTTTTAACTAAATGTAATTACGAACGGTTAAATGAACAAGAAAATTTTAGGCCCTAATAGCTTGGGCCATAACTTGAACCATGGTTCAAACTGTGGTTTTAGTAGTCATGAATCAAGCAACATTTCCAGAGCATTAACTAATACAGTAATACACACCAAACTATTCCTAGTAATAACGCGGTTTCATTTATTATTAATCAAAAATTACATGAGTATAATTTTTGTGTCAACTACACTAGATTGGCAGATTGATACAAGCCAATAGTTTTAAAGCTACCCCTGCAATACATGATAGATTGTTGGCGTACGGTACGTTTTTTACAATTAATCAAATGTTTAATGACTTCATCATTAGTAGATCACCACGATTTTGATCACCACGATTTTGATTATCCACTTATTCTGGTCGATGGTTTGATGAGCATCTTTTCGATTTATTTACTCTCATCAACTTGAAAGAATCGTTAAGGAACATAGTGATTATCCGATTATATGGACGGCAAAAATTCTAGTCAAAAATTTCTAGTCAAAAAATTTTTAAAAATGAAAAAATCTAGAAATCAACCATCTAAATCTATAGCGGGGTAATAATTTTCTTAGTATTTGGCTTATATATTCTAAATCTTCTGCCTTTTTTTTGACTACTCCGAAACAATTGTTCTTGCTCTTGCACTTATACTTGCATTTGCACTTACAAGAACTATTGAATATTGAGGGAGGTCCGGTAAGACTTGGAACTTACTCGCATTTTATGTGCATCTTGAACAAAAGAAAAAAGTGTACAAGTTGCACCCAAAATGCAAGTCGAGACCCAAGTCTGACTTGGGACCCAACTTTAATAAAGAATTGACTTTTTTGGAGTCGACTCAAAAAACTGACTCAGACCGGACTTTTAACATCCCTAGGGAGACTATTAAACCCCGTAAAAAATTCAATTGCCTTTTTAGTTTAAAAATAGCGATAGCGATAGGTTGTAATAAGCAAATTGGTTTCACGATTTTAATGTGCATGAATACGTATGTAAATAGTGTTACGTATTGAGTTTGATTATAAATGCGTGCACGTATGTACGTAATTACAAAATCACTAATTCTACCATTATTTTAACTTAATGAATGATTTAGAATTGCCAACTCCATACAATGATATTGCCTTACCGAATGCATGGGAGATTGAAAATAAATCGCCATTTATTAACTTAGATTTAAGTGGACTTAAAGTGAATTATATAGGTAAATGAATAATGAAACAGATTAACATCTTAAATTGTTGACACCCTAAATTATTAAACGTAAAATGTTAATAGTTTAACTAATTATCAAAAAATTTTAAAGGTGCTGATGATAATAAAGCTATTATAATTCGATCAAATCATCCAATTCCTTTAGAGTGTGTGATATTTTACTTTGAAATTAAAATTATAAATAAAGGAAAAAATGGGTATATTAATCATTATTTCATTTCATATCATCTTTGTTTTTATGATATTTTTTTATAAATATTTAATTCTATTTATTGATAGAATGATTGGAGTTGGATATTGTACAAGCCAAAATAATAAAGAAATTGATAAAGAAATGGGCGATTCAAATGTAAAAACAAATTATATATATAATATGCTCATGCCAGGTAATACAGTAGAAGATTTTATTCTATCTTCTTATCATTACAGATTAATAAAATTTTGTACATAATGTTACTTAGGACAAGAATATAAGGAAAATATATCATGGGGGTGTGGTTACCATGGTGACGATGGATATTCATTTTGTTCTGGAAGTAGTGAGCCGTATGGGCCCAAATATACTACAGGTGACATTATAGGATGCTATCTAAACTTAATAAAGAAGATAGTATTTTATACTAAAAACGGTGTCAACTTAGGTAATTTACACTTTAAAAAATTAAGTTTTATATTTTACAAAGCAATGTATATAATATTTATAATATATTTAAGGAATTGCGGGCCATCTTCCTGATGATTTGAATGGCACTGTATATCCATATGTTGGATTTAGATCACAAGGCGTGTCTGTAGAAGTAAATTTCGGCCATGAAACTTTCAATTATTCTGGTAATTTTTTTAAAGAGGTCTTATCGTCTTAACTTATTTAAAATTTAGCTTTGCTTATATGTTTATTTCTATTAACAGCGATGACCATCGAAGATAATAGTAAAAAATCAAATAATTTATTAATATTGAAACACCAAGAAAATGTTCATTTTGTTATAGCTGGAAATGAAAATGTACTTGTTAATTTAACAGATGAATTAACAAAATCATCATCAGGAAAAAAACAAAATAGTCTAGGACAAATATATTTCCTTATGGGCGAATATGATAAAGCACTTGATGCTTTAACTAAACTGATAGAAATTGAACCAGATAATATAACAGCATTAAGATATCGAGGAGAAATTTATTATATAACGAAAAAATATAATGAATCAATTGCTGATTTAGAGAATTTATTAAAAATTGGGCCTGATGATGAATGGGCAACAAAAACCCATAAATTAGTTAATAAGTTGTAAGTGAAATGTGCGTTTGTAAATTTATGTTTTAAAATTTATTAACTAATCCAAATATTTTGTTTGTCAATACAGTGTGTAAGTTCTTTATAGACCTTTTTTTATAGCATATCACATACAAGTAAATGCCCTAATGAATGTAATTCTAACTAATCCAAATATTTTGTTTGTCAATACAGTTAGTAAGTTCATTATAGTTTTTTTTATAGTATATTATATACAAGTAAATACTCTAATGAACGTTAATTCTAACTAATCAAAATATTTTATTTGTCAATACAGCGAGTAAGCTCTATAGAATATTTATTTATTTAATTTTTTTTTTTACAGCATATCATGTACCAGTAAATACCCCAATGAACGTTAATTTTAACTAATCAAAATATTTTGCATGTCAATACAGTCGGTAAGTTCTTTATATAATCCCCCGATCACTATATCAAGATCACGGAAGGATTAATTAATAATACTCTGACTGTATGTGAATATGCGGAAACTTTGTTTCCGCTAATTCCCAACTGATCAGGATATTATTATTCCGATTTTTTTTTTTACAGCCTATCATGTATAAACAAATACCCTAACGAACATTAATTCTAACTAATCCAAATATTTTGTTTGTCAATACAGTCGGTAAGTTCTTTATGGGATTTTTACAGTGCATCACATACAAGTAAATATTCTAATAAATGTTATTTCTAACTAATCCAAATATTTTGTTTGTCAATACAGCGAGTAAGTTCTTTTTTTTTTTTTTATAGCATATCACCCTAATGAACATTAATTCTAACTAATTCAAATATTTTTTTTGTCAATACAGGGTGTAAGTCCTTTATAACTTTTTTTTCAGCATAAGTAAATATCCTAACAAATGTTAATTCTAACTAATAAAAATATTTTTTTTATTAATACAGGTTGTAAGTTCTTCCTTTTTTACAGCATATCATGTACAAGTAAATACCCTAACAAATGTTAATTCTAACTAATTTAAATATTTTGTTTATTAATACAGCAAGTATGTTCTTTCTTTTTTTTACAACATATCATATACAAGTAATACCCTAATGAATGTTAATTATGACTAATCCAAATATTTTGCTTGTTAATACAGTGCGTAAGTTTTTTCTTTTTTTTTTACAGCATATCATGTACAAGTAAATACCCTAATGAACATTAATTAAAACTAATTCAAATATTTTGTTTGTCAATACAGCTTGTAAATGTTTTCTTTTTTTTACATCATATCATGTACAAGTAAATACTCTAACAAACATTAATTCTAACCAATCCAAATATTTTGTTTGTCAATACAGTGTGTAAGTTCTTTATAGAATTTTTTTTATATCATAAGTAAATACCCTAATGAATGTTAATTCTAACTAATCCAAATATTTTGTTTGTCAATACAGTTAGTAAGTTCTTTATAAAATTTTTTTTTATAGTATATTACTTACAAGTAAATATTATAACAACATTAATTTTAACTAATCCAAATATTTGTTTATTAATATAGCAAGTAAATTCCTTTTTTTACAGCATATCACATACAAGTAAATACTTTAATGAACATTGATTTTAGCTAATTCAACTATTTTGTTTGTTAATACAGTATGTAAGTTCTTTATAAATTTTTTTTTATAGTATAAGTAAATACTCTAACAAACATTAATTCTAACTAATCCAAATATTTTGTTTATTTATACAGCTAGTAAGTTTTTTATAAATTTTTTTACAGCATATTACATACAAGTAAATACTTTAAAAAAATGTTAATTCTAACTAATTCTACTATTTTGTTTGTCAATACAGCTAGTAAATTCTTTATTATTTTTTTTACAGCATATTATATACAAGTAAACACTCTAACAAATTTTAATTCTAACTAATTCAAATATTTTGTTTGTTAATTTAGTGAGTAAGTTTTTTTTTTACAATATATTATATACAAGTAAATATTTTAATAGACTTTAATTATAACTGATCAAAATATATTGTATTAATTTAGTCTGTAAGTTCTTTATAGAATTTTATTTTTTGCAGCATATTACTTACAAATAAATACTATAACAAACATTAATCCAAATATTTTGTTTGTTAAAACAGCAAGTAAGTTTTTTTTTTATAATATATCATGTACAAGTAAATACTTTAATGAATGTTAATTCTAACTAATCAAAATATTTTGCTTGTCAATATAGTTAGTAAGTTTATTATAGTTTTTTTACAGTATATTATATACAAATAAATACTTTAATGAACATTAATTCTAACTAATCCAAATATTTTGTTTGTCAATATAGCAAGTAAGGTTTTTTTTACAACATATCATATACAAATAAATAAACTAACAATAATTAATTCTAATTAATCCAAATATTTTATATCAATACAGCTAGTAAGTTTTTTTTTTTTACAGCATATTACATACAATATCCTAACAAATATTAATTTTAATTAATCAAAATATTTTGTTTATCAATATAGCAAGTTTTTTCTTTTTTTACAGCATATTATATACAAGTAAATATTCTAATGAACATTAATTCTAACTAATCCAAATATTTTGTTTATTAATACAGCAAGTAAGTTCTTTTTTTTTTACAATATAACATGTACAATTAAATACATTAACAAACATTAATTCTTATTAATTTAAATGTTTTGTTGTCAATACAGGTAGTAAGTTCTTTTTTTTTTATAGCATATCATATACAAGTAAATATTCTAACAAATGTTAATTTTAACTAATTAAAATTTTTTATTTGTCAATATAGCAAGTAAGTTCTTTCTTTTTTTTATAGCATATTATATACAAGTAAATACTCTAATAACTAATCAAAAT